TCGTCATCAATTACAATTAACCACTTTATACAGAATTCATTTTTAAAATAAGCTCGTTTTGCATCCAAAAGTGTTGTATAAGTGATTAACCTGATAAACCATCGTCGAACACCTACGAATCATCGCCCAGTTGATGATCAGCCGTGGGTATCCAACGATACTAATGAAAATAATCTTGCGTTTTAATTTTAAACTAAGTAAATCCATGGCCTAGCATCGTTTTAGATAACTGAAGCCCCACTAAAGGAAAATAATTCTGTTTGATGTAGAAAAAATGCCAGAATGACATTATGATTTAAATTTTAATATTGTATTATGTTCATGTCAGGTATTTAGAAAACCATGACTGTTTGTATGTTTAGTCTTAGTGTTGAAATCGATCTTTTGAATTAAAAATGCGATGTTTTAGTGCAACGTATAAAAGAATTGTTATTTGGTCTCGTTTTCGTAGAATGACTGCATGTGTAGTCCTTCGACAATTAAAACATTTATGAGAACAGGAAAACGACAAAGACATGCGTACTTGACAAGATGACAATATGTTTCTTTCTGTTTGATTTTTTATTTTGCGTAGCAGTTCAGGAATATCTTAGCATATATATATATATATATATACATATATATATACATGTATATATATAACGTGAAATTTGGAAACTGAGCATTTTCTTTTTCTTTTATGATTTTATATATATATATATATATATATATATATATATATATATATATATATATATATATATATATATATATATATATATATATATATATATATATATATATATATAATTTAGAACTGGTACAGGACTAAGTATTCACTGATTTTAACGAGTTGATGGAACGTCAACTCAGTCACGCTCTTGCATATGTACTCAGCCTTTCCTGCATTGCAACCAAAGAACACAGCTCATTTATTTAGTTCCTTCTACAATAATTTATCTTTGAGTTTGAAAAATTCAACATAAATGAAAACGAATATATTTTTTCTACACATTACACCGTTTCTTTTCAAAAAGGAAATTCACATTAGGTATACACAATATCATTTTTATCGAATTTCTTTATTATGTCGATCCGACAAAAAATATAGTGCACTTTAAACCGCTGAAGAAACAGAAGTGTATTTCGTCACTTCTCATATTTCTGTATACGCATATGTGAGTCAATTTTTTTTTAAATTTCATTTTTTTTTCATACATATGATTTATTAAATGAACCACATAAATATGCTGAAGAAAAAGATTTGAGATTAAAATCTGCAAATAGACTGAACTACTTTTCATCTTCCTACGCACCACGCTGTTTTGTTTGTAAACAACAATGAATGCACATTGGCACGGAAAATCGACAGCCTAATATTTCAAAAGAAAAAGACTTTAACTGAAGCATACTTGGAGAGATAAAGGAGACACATCAAGGTAATTACATTTATTCATAGTTATATGTAATTCTGATAGATAATTAAGTTAAGTCTGTGAGTTTATGGATATACTTATACTGATCGAGTATACGTGTTGCATGTTACAGCAATAACAGCGTCATCTTCTCCTCACTGCTAATGGCTCGGCTTTGTACAAAATTTTCTCTCCAAGACTATACAGAGTCTATTTACCCAAAAAGCTATTTGTTTATTTAAAGAACTCCACTCTTACTACATGTATTAAGGCTGTGGTTCCGGTTGACCTGGTAAAATAGGCAAAACTTATTTCCATCACTGTCGGTGTACCTTATAAGAACTGTACTGAGCAAAGTCAGCTTTTTTTTTTTTACAAATTACCCATAGTAATATTCCAATCCATTTTGTACGTCATTAAATAAACTTATTGTACAACTGATACTTGCGCACTCTTTGAATCTATATCATTCATCAATTAATTTTGAAACAATTCGATCTGCTGTATATACACATGTACATTAATCACAAGACATAAGATTCTCGAACATAAAAAAACCCATTAATGTAAATCTCATAAAAAGAATACTTGCAGTTTTATGTTATCGTCTTTTTTTCTTTGGAGAACATTGTTTAAAACTATAATTTAAGACAACAAAGTATATTCTGAAAAAGAAACATTTTATCTATTTATTTTCTACATATTTACATCCACTGAATATTGTTTCCTTTATTTCTTATAAAAACCATTGCCGTTAATCAGTCCATAAACAACACTTAGCAAGTCACCTGCATAGATTTCTTAAGCAACGGCTGTTCCATCAATTATGCATACAATGACATACACATCTATAATACAATATTTAACCTATCTAATTTACTTTGAATGTTTTTTTAAAGCTATAAATATAAACAATATAATGTCTTTCTTTGTTTGTTAGTACGGAAATTAACGTCGCAGCTATTGCAGAAAAAATTCAAATAAACCCGCTTACTCGGGTTACGTATTTTTTTTTCTGCAACAGCTGCGACATTATTTCCCATAAAAACAACCAAAGAAATCATTTTATTGTTTAAATAGCAACATATTTACATTAATTAATCTTATCACTAACACCCGAAGAGGCACTGCCACATGGTCCATACCACAGTATTAAATGTTAGTGGCATATTTAACAGGGGAATAACTCAATTTTCTCTTAGAATTAGCAACTAATTCAAAGTGTTTGGTTCATTTTGGTAAAACAATTATTTCATGCATACATAATCTACTGGTAACAAATGATTTAAAATGATTATGAACTTTGAATATATTTTAAAGTAAATAAATTAATATTTGTCTATGCAAAATGCTTACATGAAAAAAAAGAGGCTTTGTTAAAAAATTGCCTACTATTAAATGTTGACAAGTTTCAGTGACAATGTTGATATGTAAAAACCTTTTGTTGATGTACTGGAATTTCAAACATAGATGTATTGAAGGATTCAGCTGTCAGTGTTTTATATGCTGGGGGACAACCACCCCTTGATTTCAAATGTGATATAAAGAATGTCCATCTTTGTAATAAGGATTTTTCTCTTATATAAATATTCTTTGGTAAAAATTTATTTAATATCAGCTTATTGTGTTTTTCTATTGAAAGAAAATGAATCTCATCAGCCACGTATCTCAAATCACTTGACACTATTTTAGTGTTTTGGCGGTGTGATATATTCGAGGTTTAAAATACATGTATCAACAGATATAGACTGTTTAGAATTTGTAGGATTATCATCATCACTTTCTCATTTAGAAATACAGGTTTAATCATTAACCTCCAACGTTTGATTACTTTTACTAATGGTGTCAGATTAGTTAGCTCCCTGGTCCTTTTAAACCATGGTATAAGGTCCATAACAATGACTTTTAGAATAACCTATTTGTTATAACTTAAACTGATTTTGAATCTACGAAGTTGATAATGTTTTAATGTCACAGGACTTTAAAATCTGCAACAGTTGTGTTGATTATATTAGTTTGACCCTGTGTTTCATGATTGTATCATTACTTTCATTAGTGTAGCATTTACACTGTATTTGTCAATCTGAAACCTGGATCCTGTGTAAAACTTCTGGTGTTAAGATTACATTTTTGTTTTAATTTGTTTCTATATTTGAAAATGCTACTATCAATTATGAAATATTTACGGACAAAAAAGTCATTCTCTTGTACTGTTTATTGGCTTACTACACTTCAAACTGGAGGACCTGAATAATGATTTGAAAATTGACATTTTTATACGAGGAATAATACTAGTAATCGATCATAAAAAATTGTAAAAGGAATACTTGCTGCATACACACCACAGGCACTTGTTTCGGTAATAAATTTTTAACCCATAGTATAATAATAACACAAGGTATCTAACTCCGAATTACACGGAGTACCCCCCTCCCCCAGAATCGCACTCATTTACACTTTCAGAGGAAATACACTGACAAACTGTTTATACCTATGTTTTCTACGATAATTTATATACACAACCATATATGACACGCTTGTCTTTATTTTCTTTAGTCTCCGTAAACAGCGTCAAAACTCGTCGAGTGGAAAAGTCGAATTCAACCATGAAATGGTATGTGCTAATCCCGCACATGAGAACAAAATCAAAAAAATGAGTGGGTTTAAAAATTCAATTCCAGTGTTTAAATATTGCATGAGTAAATAGAACTTGTTTACGTCTGATTTTCCCTGAAAACATTACGATGTTTATATCCGATGTAATTTTAGAAACAGATTTTTAGCCAATCAACATCTCTGTGCGGGATTAGCACATACCATTTCATGGTTGAATTCGACTTTTCCACTCGACGAGCAGAGTTTTGACGCTGTTTACGGAGACTAAAGAAAATAAAGACAAGCGTGTCATATATGGTTGTGTAGATAAATTATCGTAGAAAACATAGGTGTAAACAGTTTGTCAGTGTATTTCCTCTGAAAGTGTAAATGAGTGCGATTCTAGGGGAGGGGGGTACTCCGTGTAATTCGGAGTTAGATACCTTGTGTTATTATTATACTATGGGTTAAAAATTTATTACCGAAACAAGTGCCTGTGATACACACTAAGGAATATAAAAAAAAAACTGTGGTTTTAATATACATATGATAGTTGTGCAAGTGCATTTCATTTGTTCAAATAAGACTACAATGCTCAATAAATGTATAACTTGTATAATTATACAATAAATAGAAAGAGATATTGTTTTCTTATAATATCACGGAGTATTATTTGTTAATTGGAATAATTAATTTAAAATACATTGCATCATGTCATAAAATTGACATCAGAAATCAAATGGAAATTTAAATTTCTGTTTCTAAATAAACATTTCATTTTATTCACCACTAAATCAATACCCATTAGCTAAGAACGCGTATCAGTACTTTCAGTACTTTGATTTTTTTGGGGGGTACCGTTTTTGAATTAGAGTTGTCTTTCTTTTAATCCGTTCTACTTTCTGATGCAATCGCTTGAAAGCATTATCTATAAATAAAACATGACGTGTACTGTAGTATATTAATACCCTAGAACAGGATAGCTCATTATTAAATTAAAAATACTAGTGTGCATGGGAACTGCTGGGCGTCATGGAATAAACACTCCAGAAATGTCCAAATAAACATATACACGCAAGACGTATACGTATAAGTTTTTAAAAGGTAAGGCATGTACTAAATGTACAATAGATTTATTATTTAAGGACCCTCTACAAACTACAGATTTCTTTTTGTGGTGTTAGAAGGATACACCCTTAGATCTTGAATCATGTGTACTAAATTATTTTATTTGTAATCAAACTCGAGCATTCTTAACATTTATTAATTCATTGTATGCTTTGATTAACGTGTATTTTCCCCCATTTGAGTATAAGCAACAGTGCAGTGCTTCATTCTCTTTGAACATTTTTTGCTAAGTGTGTATATATGTTGAAAATGAAATTGATAAACCCAATATTTACACCTTTAAACGATATATTTTCTCAGTGTCCAAAAAAACTTTTTTTCAATAGTACATGTATATATAGAGGTCCTTAAATCATATAGTCTAAGTGGAAAGAATAAAATAATGTATTTATTATACAAATATATATAACCTTTTTAATGAGGTTAATCCCTAGAGATATAGAGAAAGCATATCGATCGAATTCTACCGAATCAAAAGGATATATATCTGTTTTCTTATTTTTTTTATGTCAGTTAACATTTTTATTGATTTATAGCAAGGGTGTTGTATAAGTAAAGTTTATACAAAGAGTGATTGTTTGTGCGCAAGTTGGGAGGCGGGGGGGGGGGGGGGTTACAGTCAAGGACCCTTAAATTCAGCATATTTATTGTATTTTATCGTGGAGTAACTTTTCTTTCATATTTTTTAAGTGATAGGCCTATATCTTGTTTATGGCTACATGCATAGCAGCATATATCAACTGGCTTTTTAAAATATTTTTTGATATATGAGTATTATTTTATGCTTTCAGGAATATTAAAAGATAAATAATTTCCAAATGGAATAGGGATCTTTGAAAAGTTTGAAGAGAAGGATAGGGGAACCTTGAAGATGTTGGTAAAGAGTATGTAATGAAAGTAAGAGAAGACCAGAGAGAAGGTGATTACCTTATTACTTCAAGGCTAGATATTCCCAGAGAAATATGAGGAGGAAAAAGAAACGTCTGAAGGGGGATGTGAGAGAATTCCCAGAAAAAGATCGAAATTCCCGTTGATCAGCGGATTTTTTTTTTCCTCACAATATGGCAGGAATTAACTTCCTGCCAACATACACCAGCAAAAATGGCGACGCCGGTCTTGAAGGCATACTCCCGGGCTCTCGTGCCCGGGGTAACGCCATTTTCACATCTTGTCCGAGACGGACGTTTCACATTAGCACCGAAAATAAGAAATCCCCATGCTGTGCAATTACTTCGCTTTTTGGAAGGTTTGGGTATCACCATTGAAACTGTGAGATATCGGGAACAAGCGGAAAGAGATGATGAATTTTTTACAACTTACTGTAAAAATCTTTTCTTAAAGGACAGAAAAGGGGTGTTCTATCTTGTCATTTATAAAGAAGATTCAGTTTTAGATTTAAAACTTCTGAAGAAACAAGTTAACGCCTACCGCAATTTCTCTTTTGCCAGCCAAAGAGAATTGAAAAACATTTTGAAAGTCAATTTTGTGACCCCTTTTTCTTTGCTTTTTAATTCAACAGAAAATGTGAAGGTCGTCTTTGCGGAAAGTCTGAGACAAGAATCTTCCTTGAACTTTCATCCTCTTGATGGTCGATTCACAACCCGAATTTCCTATGGTGATCTCGAAACTTTCATGAAAGCCATTGGGAGAGATTTTATTCTAATAAATATTTAAAACACATTTTTTGACTTGTTAATTAATGAAAATATTGTTTAAACTTTCAGTTTTTATTAAATTAAGTTTTTTTACGAGTTGATTTCTGAGTATATACATGTACCTTTCCATCGTCAACGTTCCTAATTTAAGTACATGTAGTAATGTTCCACTATCAACTGTTTATGGTGTTTATGTCTACCAACTTGTTCCTACTCAAGAGCTTGCTCTGAGTACGATCAATTTTTAAAGCGAGGCAGGTTACTCTCTGATTAGTTGATACTACAGGGATTTCAAAGGCCTCGTTTAAAGTCAGCATTTCGTAAATTTATGGTCGTTGTAATGCCCTTGTTAGCAAATATAACCTATCATTGGTTGGTATTTTGGCTGACTTGTTTCGTACCAATTGTTAGGTCTTTGTTTTGTACTGAATTGACTACGGATAGTTCCGTCTACCTGATCAATACATAGGACTCATGGCGGGTTTGACCGGTCAACAGAGGATGCTTACTCCTTCTAGGCACCTGAGCCTACCTCTGGAACTTCCAAAGGTCCGTGTTTTTCCCTCTTCACATATTTGTATTGTTTGTTGATTTTTTTTAGATTGATCACTGTTCATTATCTTTTCCTTTTACATGTGTGTAATAATAGAATTTTGGAAATTTCCGAAATGTACTGATATAATCTTAAGTTTTTGCTCTTCTCTTCTGACAAACAGCTCTTAAAAATCACACAATCAAACGAAGACCACACGCAGATCTAATAATTATAATTATTTGAATCACTGTAAAAATATATTATTTACAACAAAACTTTATTCCTCTAAACAAAAAGCATCTTTGGGTGAAGGGGATTCAAGTTTGTTCAAATGAAGGGCAACGCCCTCTTTCAAGGGGAGATACAGAGATTAAGAATTAGTGAGAATTGTTAGCATCTTTTAAAAACATCTTTTCAAGAAATAAAAAATTGAAATTTACGTGAAACCTTCCTTGCATAGTTTATATTCAAGTTTGTTCAAATTATAACCTAAAGGGGGTAGGATGGGACCCAATAGGGGGTCAAAATTTTACATAGGAATATATAGAAAAAAACAACAAAATCATGATACATGTAAGTCATATTGATATATATTGATATATATAGGCATCCTCAAGTAGTGCAGATTCAAGTTTGTTCAAATCATGACCCCAGGGGGTTGGTACATGTAGGGGCCAGAATGGTGGATCAAAGTTTTAATTATGAATATGTACGATAAAAAAAAAATCTTCTCTAGAACAGCAAAGCCATGATAAGTCACACTGATATGGAAGCATCCTCAGGTAATGCAAATTTGTTTGTTCAAATGACGACCCCCGGGAGTAAAGGCTACAATGGGGGATCAAAGTTTAACAAAGGCATTTATGGGAAAAATAGTCTTCTCAAGAACAGCAAAGCAATGATTAGTCATACTGATATGAAAGTATCCTCAGGTAGTGTAGGTTCAAGTTTGTTCAAATCATAGGGTGGGGCCACAATTAATGGGGGATCAAAGTTTTACATTGGAATATATAGACTCAGATGAGTGTTGTGGCCCATTGGCCTCTTGCATTTCCAATTGTGCAACCGCTTGGGTCATTTTTGGAATAAACAGAAGAAAATCAGTGCGGGTTGACATACATATGTTAATAATGTATGCTAATAGTAAAGTTTCTAGTTATCATTCCTATTTTTTAAGTTGTTGTTGAAGTCATGTGTTCTTGCCAAAACTAAAAGATAAAATTTTAAATAAGTAATTTACTATGAGTGTGAAAATGGAACATGTGCATGTGATTCGAGGGAAAGAGGATTACTCAATTCTCATATACATACATGAAGTATTTCCTACTTTCTACACAGCTTGCATTGTTTAAGATAAACAGGAAGTACTCCAAGTGGAAGTAGTGGATTCTAGTAAATATTGCTGTTTCCTCATTGTTTCAATGACGTCATAGAAAAAAATAGACTGTTATAAGTTTGCTTTTAAAAAAAAAAAAAAAAAAAAAAAAAAAAAAAAAAAAAAAAAAAAAAAAACAACTTATATAGTTGGTTCTCTTTGTTTGTTTTGGTTTTGTTTTTTTTTTCTTTTTAACAAATGCATAGACCTTAATTACATGATTTGATAGTCTTTTAGGAAACCTCATGTTGACATCACATGCTGACATTGAATTTCCGCTTTTCTATTTACATAACAGTATCAAAAAGCAGCGAGGGCTAAAAATATGATTTCTATAATCGCATATTTCCTATTTCCAGATCAATTTTATATGTAGAGAATTTGATTGTTTTTTATTTCTTTTTGTAAAATGATATCATATTTCGGATTAATGTAATGGGAACTTCAAAAGTATGATTTAAATATTTCATAATTATGCTCAGAACAAAACAAATCTAATATTATCTGTAAATATACAACTTTTTTGAAAGCATTTTCAGACCAATAGTATTCTCTTTTGAATAAACAATAATATTAACCTATAACATATAATACTTTTCATCCACATATGGAGAGCGAGGAGAATGAGTAATTATAGATATATTTTCAAGACATAATTTCTTGTAGTTGTTTTTCCCAGCTGCAACAGCTCTCTCTCTCTCTCTCTTTCTCACTCTTAAAAAAAAGAAATCAGAAAACAACAACAAAACTATCAAAGGAAGTGCCAGATTCTAATTCATGGGGGAGACCCGATTCCTATCTATTGATATTAAACATGTATGTTAAAAGTTATTATTATGTACATAGGACTACATTCTCCTTCCCCCTCCCTTTCACCCCAATAAAAAAGGAAGAACAATAATTACTGGTATCTTTTTATTCATTTCAAAAGTGTTTCAGTAAATCTAGATCTATTTCTGAAAGTTTTAACCAGCTACATGGTCGGCTGGTCGGGACCAGGGGGGAGCTGCTGAATACTGACAAAGTAAGACTTATTTTAACTGTTTAAAAAGAAATGTTCAGTTTAACCTCAAAATCACATCTGTACATCTCCTGATTTATTGATTAAACGAATAATCACTACTAAAAATCAATTAAGAAAGGGTAGTACTTTTAAAATTATATAAAGGTTTGGAAGACATACGTACAATATGGCAGCTTTTTTTTACTCTTTCTTACGTAGAATTATTTTTTGCATGGCTCTGCAGATCTATAAATGTTTAAAGATGGTGGTATTTTAAAAAATCAACTTGTGAAAATTACAAATCTAAAGTTCAAAATATTCTTTTATAGAAATGTTAAATATCTGGGGAGATGTGCCTAATTCTATGTGATTAAAATATATGATACTCAAAAGCTAGAGAGAGTGCACAAATGAGAGTTATTGTTCTTGGGAGAGCTCTTTACTGTGTGGAGGCAGATTCTACATTATGTCGGACGAAAACATACCACACGTGCAAGCAAAGTTTTTTACAAAACAATCACAGTAAGACTTTATATCCTTTGTATATATGGGAATCATTTGTTTTCTTTAGTTTTACTGTCGTTATTTGTTTCCCAACAAAATAAACGCATCTGGGATAAGCAATAGACATTCCCATGGGGGATTTTGCGCGTTATAAATTCGCGACATTTTGTCGTGAAAATAAATGTTTATCCCATTTTTTTAAATTTATAATATTGATATCACTTATTGGTACAGCTTAAGGATAAATAACACAAACAAATATTTTCCTTCCCAAATTTTGCTTAAATGGGTGCCTCTCTCACTATAAAGAAATGATATAACTATCTGTTTAGTTAAACCAGTAAACAACATTATGTTTGACCAAGACACATAATTTGGTGAAAAATGGGAAAATATACAACTTTCAGTTCAATGATTTTTTTTTGTTAAGTTTTAGAAATATATGAGTTTCTGGGAAACATTTTTAAGATTCTATATTTACATTTTACACAATTAGAATTTCCTAATTAGACATGACATTGAAAGAATTACATGTATTGAAAATTTGCAATGCTTTAATTACTTTTTTATTTTATTTATTTATTTGGTGTGGGAGATAAGAAAATTTGTGGAATATATATGTCATTCTGTTCCCTATTAATAAGTAGAAATGGTTAATTTTTATCACACACACAAAACAATTTGAATTTAATTTTTTTTAAGATCATCAGTTACATGGCTACCCGCTATCCCAAACAAAAATTAAAATTGTTATAGTCACGATGGACTGCAGTCTTGTCAGTGCTATGTGGGTATTACCATGTCATAACAAAGAAATACAACGTACAGTATCACTTTTGGGAGGGGGAGGGGAGGGAGAAGAAATTAGGGGAGGGGAGGGAGAAGAAATTCGGTGTACTTGACATGAGACTTAGTTGCTTCATCTTAATTATTTTCATCTTATTTTAAACTATGAACTTTACATTCTTTTTATTATAAGCAGACTTAGCAGCTATGCTTTGTAGTTTTCTACTTTCGTTTTTAAAAAACGATCTACATGGATTCCAATTTTATTATTTGTTTATCATATCATTGCATTTAATTTTTGTTTTTAATAAAATGATATTTAATTAACACCTAAATCTATGTGTTCCACCTTGCAAACCCCTTCTGACTGTAAAGTTAATACCCTAACTGCTCCAGGCTAGATAAGTTACTGTACCTGAACAGCTGTGTGTGTTCAAGCGAGAAGTAATTTACACCTCTGCATGTGTTAAAAAATCAAGGAGACTATAATTTGTGTGCATTGAATAAACAAGTCTGACATTCTTATCCCGATTGACAAAATAAGGCGTTAGGGAAATTATGAAAATCGGAAATTTTAGGGTGAATATTTTCAAATCAGGATTTTAGGGCAATTTTGCTCTCCCGATCTGGAAAGCAGGGTCAAAGGGTAACATCGGGAGGATCCCGCCTAAATCAGGAAAGTTGGCATGTAGTGCAATAGATGAATTTGCCCAATACAAAAGTTAGGTCTCTTAGCCATGATATTTAACTGTTTAAATTATTTCATATACATGTATATTATTATATGTTTGCAAAGTGCAAACTAGAATTCAGACTCCCTATAATTAAGTTATATCAATATGATAGACAATTCGTTGAAAGCAAAAGTGATCAAAGTAAAAATTTTAGTACATTCACCTGTATATGAAGTTAAATAAACTAACTAATTATTTATTCTCTCGAAAATATGTGATTTCTCCGTCAATTCTACATGTATGTCATTCTGTGCAATTGCAATCTGATTAAAATCAGATCTTTGTTACGCTCCGAAATGACCATCAGAATTTCAGAGCGTAACAAAGATCTGATTTTAATCAGATTGGAGCAATTGGTTTGTACTTTTGACTTTGTTAAGGTTTAAAAATTGGCCATATACAGGATATTAAAAATACATAAGGTAAGAAACAAAAATTATAAACAAACGGGGGTTCCCCACTTCGAGGCTTATTTCCTAGGTACATATTGTACTAAGTTAAACAGTGTTACCTGTCATATTTTTGTAACCATTCTATCGGGGAGATGTTCTTCTACTCATCTCTTTAACCTGAACCTCATCTTTAGTGTTTTATATGCTGTAATGAGACGATTTATTAGATGGGCATGTAAACTTTTCTCTATTGACAGCCTTGGAGGAGGATTTGGCGTTATTACTTCATTTTGCTTTATCTGATTAGTCAAATTAATTATACCCCCCGCAAACGAAGTTTAGGGGGGGTATATTGGAATCAGCATGTCCGTCTGTCTGTCCGTCTGTCTGTAGACGAGATTTTGTCCGGACCATTTCTTGGAAACTGTTGGAAGGATTTGTCTGAAAATTTGTACACTTATTCACCATATGAAGGTGTGCACCTGGTATTTTCATTATGATTGGATAATTATTTTGCATTTTACAGGTGTTTTTTTTCATTTTTATTATGTGGTTTTGTCTGGATCTGTTCCCAGAGACTATTGCGTAGATTTGTATGAAAATTTGTACACTTATTATTTACCATGTGAAGATGTGCACCTGGTATTTTCAACATTATTTGATAATTTTTCTGCATTTTACAGGTGTTTTTTTTCTTAATTTCATTTATTGACTTAGTCATTTCGGGTTCATGTCTAAGGTTTGAGACATAGAATCTAGAACATCTGTACAAAAATGTGAACTACAGCTTAAAACTACTCATTTAATAGAACTAAAATAAAAACAACAAAGTATTAAAAACAGTTTTTACATTACACAGCAGATAGTGTAAATCGATTTGTCCCTTGGGAGTAATGAGTGGACATGCATCCAGTTAAAGATTAATTAATGAGTTCAGTGTGGGAAGCTGTATCTCTGATCAAGCAGGTGTTATCTATATCTCAGAGGAATTGGGCAGAAAGAAATAAAGATCTCTGTTGTCTAAGTCTCTTAATTGTAATTTATGTCAGTCAAAATACATAGTTACTAAAACCAGCCTTTTATTTTTAAAATGAGTTTGATATAAAGGTATTAAAATCAATTTGATTTTCTATAATTAATTATGATATTTTTTTTTTCAACAATCAATTTGCAGAGTGTCATGTCTCACAAAGATGGCAGATAGTTGCAAACTATTTTTTCAATGTAATAAAAAACACTGTAATTATTAGTATTGATGTTTTATTAGGCTGCACCTTAGTTTCATTCATTAAATAAAGTGCCCCACCACAGCATGATACGCCCATCAAATATTGTTAAATTATCATAAACAGTATAGATTCATTTGTTTGAATGACATCTTAGCGAGACAAGGCAGTCTGCAATTTGTTGTAAAGATATAAAAATTCAAATAAAAAATGTACAATAAATAATTAGTTTGAATTATATTATACAATATCATATAAGTTTTAATTATTATATACAATATCAAATTAGTTTTAATTACATCAAATTTATCTTGAAAGTAAGACTAGCCAACAAGAACAATTCAATACAACACAAGCAATTAATTAAGAGACTGATTCCTTTTGCCCAATTCCCAAGAGATGTAGATAACACCTGCTTGATCAGAGATGCTCTACCAGTTATCTCCTCACACTAAACTCATTAATTTCTCTCTAATTTGACATGCAATTTTCTGCTATCAAAATTTTCCTTGACCAGTGCCTGATCATTACACCCATGGGAGAGGTGGAATTTTTGTTGTTACAGATTGCTGTAAAGAACATAATGAAAAAAATAAGACTAGTATTTTCTTGATTTAACACTTTTTTAATAAAGATACTGCAATACTCTGACATCTTTTGGGATTGTGTAATTTAAAAGTTAAAAAACATAGTTTTTTGATTCTAAGTCTAATGGTTTTCTAGTTATGATATTTCCATATTTGGCCATAGCATCTTTATTAAAGGTCAGAGCGACCTGGTTTTAATGTGCGACACACTTTCTACCCTAGATGTATCAGCTGAAAAAGTTTGATAATTCTAGGCCTAATAGTATTAAAGTTATGAGCCGGACATGAAAAAGCTAAGGGACGGACGAACATGAATGCTATAACATAATACGTCCCGTCGTAAGACGGACGTATAAAAATATATAATGAGTAATTAAATTTTCACTGTAAATGTTTAAGGAAATTGTGAACACCTCTCACATCTAGAAAACATTAGTGATTTGGTACTTTCTCTGAAAAACCCAGCGGGGGGTATTTGTCCCTTTTGGACAGTTCTAGTTTAAACTGTATTCCGTCGACCAATCAGATGAATCAAAACGATTTTAATCTATATGTACATGCACATATTTTGATTCGTACATGTATTACTGTTTATAATTAGATACTCGGTACCTGACACACCATACTCAGTACCAGCAACTGTAGGTACCACAGAGCTCAGTGCACTCATCAACCAAATCTTAAAAGGTAAAGTATCTATTTCATAAATTTCAAAGGGAAATTTCTGTTCTGTGTGATATTGAAATATTTGGACTTTAAAATGTTTAAAGTAATATGAATTGCAACTTTGATGCCAGAAATTTTTGTTGCAATATTGTAATTACTCAGTAACTTAAAAAACTATTTATTATGAATTTAATAAACCTTTTGAGAAAATAAGTTTTCAATGAACAGAAAATATGTAAAAACATACACAAAATGCAGAGATAAACCGAGGTATGTTTTTAATTATAGTAGATTAATGTGGTAGAGTGATAATTTTTGCTTATTCTAGCTTCTAAATTGTGATTGTCAAAAACATAAATACCAGTACAGGAAAAGAAACATTATTGTTATACATAAAAGTTTAGAAGTCTTTCAATGATCATGACTGTGTTACTGTAGATTCCTAAATATACATGAGGAGTCAGTTATCGTAATTTTGTGAGAATCACCAGTCGCTGAAATAAAATTACTCTTTCATTCGTATGATGATGATATCCATGTAAAATCTTTTGATCCACTGTCCTTTCACAAATTATTGTTCTCACTATTTGACATCTGAGAGCCATTTTGCTATATTAAGTACTGGCTCTGGGGGCCAGAAAACTTAGACGAGCTCACTTTGATCTAAGCCTCACTTTTCCACTATATATTCCTTTTGTAAAAGTGAGACTGAGGTAAAAAGTGAGCTCGTTTAAGTTTTATGGCACCAGAGCTTGGTGTAAAATAAGGAATGGACAGTATTAGACAGCTTCAAAAGTATGTGCTATATTTTAAATGACATTACAACATGAGCAGTCCTTTGACTTGTTTTATGAGCAGGCAATGATGATTCTGTGGAGACGTCAGTTGATTTTGATTTCCTGTTGGATGGAGAGTTCCTCAGAGTGCCGCTAGACAAACATTTAGAGAAAAAAGGAGTCTCTTCAGTAAGCCATTAAATTCCAATAGAATTGTGACAGCCAGTGTAAGACTAATGAACATTTGTGGGCAGTATTTGAGGTTTCCATGGAGCTTTAATGAAATATATATATGGAGATAACGAACAGTATTAAGCTCAAAATTAAACAATACAAAATAGGAGCAGAGCAAACACGGACCTCCAAAACATCAGAGGTGGGATCAGATGCCATGGAGGAAAGAGCATCCCCTGCCAACCGGTCACACCTGTGGTGTGCTCCTTGTCATGATCAGGAAATAATGGAAAAATCCAGTGAGTAAATAATGGCCTAACAATTAGTATGAAAAAAAAACCCATCGTTGACCACTGCCTCTTTTTTCTTGGGAGCTTGTTGTGGATTTAGTTGTGACTTCCAAATGTTTTAATACAGTTGTGAGATAAATTGTGTTTTTGATTGGTGATTTAGATATTAAGAAATGCATATCTATATTCCCATCAAGTTGGTAATTTTCCCAATTTTAATGGCCCAAGCCCCAGTAGCAAAAAATGGTTTGAGAGCCCTTCCCTGTGTAATGCCTGGTAACGGTTTGTCATGTATATGTTGGTTGTTTTAAACTAATCAGCTGCAAAGAGCGTGTGAATGAAAGTGATAGAATAGAGTGAAAGATTTAGCTCAGGATCTTAGATGAATGAGAAACTTAGCAGCTTTATGAAAATTGTACTAACAATCATCAGAATTAGATTTGTAAAGATTTTTGCTTTAAATTTCAGGAAGATTTAATTGAGATAGAGTTTGTAGAAAGACAGCCAGCCCCACAACCGGAGGATTCCCTCCTCCACGATGACTGGGTCAGCTGTGTACAGGGATGTCAAGAGTGGTCAGTATACAGAAAACAGTAACAGCCACAGAGGAGAGATAATCACAACATTTCAAAGCCTTCAGTTTAGAATTTATTCTTCTCCGAAGTAAATCTTTTGTAAATATGCTGCTTGATTAATAATCATGCAGTGTCAAAAACACATGCGCTTGTTGGGAAAAAAAATTTCAGAGAATGTTGCACTATTGAGCTTGAGTTATCGACAGAATAACAAAAGAAGTGTTCTGTTTTTATTTTTCAGCATACTATCGGGTTGCTATGACAACACAGTGAGGCTTTGGTCCACAACAGGTGCCCCACTCCTGACAATACCTGGTCATACTGCTCCAGTCAAGTGTGTCACATGGCTAAGTGGAGGTAGGTCATTCTGCTCCAGTCAAGTATGTCACATGGCTTAGTGGAGGTAGGTCATTGTGCTCTAGTCAAGTGTGTCACATGGCTAAGTGGAGGTAGGTCATTCTGCTCCAGTCAAGTGTGTCACATTGCTTAGTGGAGGTAGGTCATTCTGCTCCAGTTAAGTTGCCACACGATTAAGTGTTGGTAGGTCATTCTGCTCCAGTCATGTGTGTCACATGGCTAAGTGGAGGTAGGTCATTCTGCTTCAGTCAAGTGTGTCACATGGCTAAGTGGAGGTAGGTCATTCTGCTCCAGTCAAGTGTGTCACATGGCTTAGTGGAGGTAGGTCATTCTGCTCCAGTCAAGTGTGTTACATGGCTTAGTGTTGGTAGGTCATTCTGCTCCAGTCTAGTGTGTCGCTTGCCTTAGTGGAGGTAGGCCATTCTGCTCCAGTCAAGTGTGCCACATGGCTTAGTGGAGGTAGGTCATTTTGCTCCAGTCAAGTGTGTCACATGGCTTAGTGGAGGTAGGCCATTCTGCTTCAGTCAAGTGTGTCACATGGCTTACTGGAGGTAGGTCATTCTGCTCCAGTCAAGTGTGTCACATGGCTTAGTGGAGGTAGGTCATTCTGCTCCAGTCAAGTGTGTCACATGGCTTAGTGGAGGTAGGCCATTCTGCTTCAGTCAAGTGTGCCACATGGCTTAGTGGAGGTAGGTCATTCTGCTCCAGTCAAGTGTGTTACATGGCTTAGTGGAGGTAGGTCATTCTGCTCCAGTCAAGTGTGTCACATGGCTTAGTGGAGGTAGGTCATTTTGCTCCAGTCAAGTGTGTCACATGGCTTAGTGGAGGTAGGTCATTCTGCTCCAGTCAAGTGTGTCACATGCCTTAGTGGAGGTAGGCCATTCTGCTCCAGTCAAGTGTGTCACATGGCTTAGTGGAGGTAGGTCATTCTGCTCCAGTCTAGTGTGTCGCTTGCCTTAGTGGAGGTAGGTCATTCTGCTCCAGTCAAGTGTGTCACTTGGCTTAGTATAGGTAGATCATTCTGCTCCAGTCAAGTGTGTTACATGGCTTAGTGGAGGTAGGTCATTCTGCTCCAGTCAAGTGTGTCACATGGCTTAGTGGAGGTAGATCATTCTGCTCCAGTCAAGTGTGTTACATGGCTAAGTGGAGGTAGGTCATTCTGCTCCAGTCAAGTGTGTCACATGGCTTAGTGGAGGTAGGCCATTCTGCTCCAGTCAAGTGTGTCACATGGCTTAGTGGAGGTAGGTCATTCTGCTCCAGTCTAGTGTGTCGCTTGCCTTAGTGGAGGTAGGTCATTCTGCTCCAGTCAAGTGTGTCACTTGGCTTAGTATAGGTAGATCATTCTGCTCCAGTCAAGTGTGTTACATGGCTTAGTGGAGGTAGGTCATTCTGCTCCAGTCAAGTGTGTCACATGGCTTAGTGGAGGTAGATCATTCTGCTCCAGTCAAGTGTGTTACATGGCTAAGTGGAGGTAGGTCATTCTGCTCCAGTCAAGTGTGTCACATGGCTTAGTGGAGGTAGGTCATTCTGCTCCAGTCAAGTGTGTCACATGGCTTAGTGGAGGTAGGTCATTCTGCTCCAGTCTAGTGTGTCGCTTGCCTTAGTGGAGGTAGGTCATTCTGCTCCAGTCAAGTGTGTCACATGGCTTAGTGGAGGTAGGTAATTTTGCTCCAATCTAGTGTGTTACATAACTTCAAAGTGGAAGTAGGTCATTCTGCTCCAGTCAAGTGTGTCACATGATTATAGTACATATATCTTTTCTGCGTGAACTTTCAGCGTCTTTCAAATAGTGGTTGCCAGATTAGCTCATCTATACTGAAATTTACACAGCTTTATATTCACGGGTGAAATACACATGAGAAAAAAATAGTTCAGAGATCAGCGAGTGACGCAAGGAACCAATTACATTGTTTCTTGCGTAAAGAGGTGTGCTTATGTCATCTCAGTGTTTGTTAACAACAAACTAAAGTTGCTAATGTTATTTATTTCTTAACCAATGAGAATCTAGGTCACCATTTGATAGACACTAATTATGTATCGCCGAGATTGTCATGCCTTACTGAAAGTTCAAGCAGAAAAGAGATTTGTACTAAAGTGGAAGTAGGTCATTCTGTTCAAGTCAAATGTGTCACAGTTCTACATGTAATTGGAGGGTGGTCATTCAGCTCCAGTCAAGTGTGTCGCAGGATTTGCTCCAGCCAAGTGTGTCATATGTCTAAGTGGAGGTAGATCATTCTGCTCTAGTCAGGTGCATTATATTAATGTAAATAACCCCAAAGCATGAATTTCCATGTTTACAGTAAATATTATTATGTGTGTTGATCAGATGAAAGACAAACATGTACCATTCATCTCTGGGTCAAATGACCAGAGTCTTCTAATATGGGACTGTATACTCACGTTTATTGTACATTTCAATATAGTCAAACCTCTTTATCTGGAACTTGATGGGAATAAAATAAAACTTCAAGATATCTGAGGATTCGAAATACAAGGTTCAAAAACTTAAAGAAAAAGTGGTAACGTTGGACTGTCAACCATTTTCAACATATCCCTGGTATTTGAGATATTGATGTTTGAGATAACGAAGTTAAACTGTATATTTGTTTATCAGATGATGGACCCACCTGTCGTTTCATCTCGGGGTCACATGACCAGACTCTATTAATATGGGAGTGGAATAAACAGGAAAATTCTGTGGAGTGTGTACATGCGTGCCGTGGCCACGCTCGCAGTGTAGATTGCGTAGCAGTCAATGAAGAAAAAGATAAGGTGAGATCTAGAACTGATTATACAGTAAAACCCACTTATAATGAAAACACTTATAAGGATATGACACTTATAGCAAAGTGAATTTGATTCCATGTGGTTTTAAAATATATTGTGAACCTAACTGAGTGTTATAATGAATTACGCTTACAACAAAGCAAAATTATCCATCCATTATAAGTGTGATTTATTGTATATTTTAATTGTAGAAAAAGTTCTTTCATGGACAGTAAATATTATGTACATTTCTGTGGTAAATGAAATAGATGTATCCAGTCTACTTTTAGGGTTTTATTCTGTATTTGTTCATAAACACATGCATTCATTCTTCATTTCCTATGTTTTTATACATGTTCAAGTTAATGCTCACTGTGGGTGATAAATTGTATAGGTGTTGACTTATCTTTAATGAACATGTAAGCTTTTGTAGAATTGTTAGTAAATATACAATGTATATCTCTTAAAAAAAAAAAAGATCTCCAGACTCAGCATTGTTGACATATTGATTTTCATTTTCAGTTTGTCAGTGGATCTTGGGACAACATGTTAAAACTCTGGTCAGCAGGTAAATCAACCTACTTTTATTAAGGATTTAAATTTTGCATTGTCTATTTAATGTAGGGTTGTCAATGATGAAACTTTCAGTTTAGATACAATTATATTACAGTGTATTATTTATAAAACTGTCAATGCTTTACATACATGAATGTTTTCCATTATATCTTTAATTTATCATTCATTTCTTTGTACACAGTTTCAGTCAGTGATTATTTTTGCGTATTTTTCATACAACAGCTTTAGTGACTGATTATTTATTATTGTGATTTTTTAAGTACACAGCTTTTGGGAATGAATATTCATTATTGTGTATTTTTTTCCTACACAGCCCCTGTAGCAGAGGGAGACAAGGAGGAGGAGGAGGAAACGGAGACCGCAACAAAAAAACAAAAACTCACCAAAAAAGTCCAAACAAGGGTAAGTCAGATAAATCCTGAATCCAAACAAGGGTAAGTCAGAAAAATCCTCAATCCAAATAAGGGTAAGTCAGAAAAATCCTCAATCCAAATAAGGGTATATCAAATAAATCCTCAATCCAAACAAGGGTATGTCAAATAAATCATCAATCCAAACAAGGGTAAGTCAAATAAATCCTCAGTACAAACAAGGGTAAGTCAGATAAATCCTCAATCCAAACAAGGGTAAGTCAGAAAAATCATCAATCCAAACAGGGCTATGTCAGATAAATCCTCAATACAAACTAGGGTAAGTCAGATAAATCCTCAATCCAAACAAGGGAAAGTCAGATAAATCCTCAATCCAAACAGGGCTATGTCAGATAAATCCTCAATCCAAACAAGGGTAAGTCAGATAAATCATCAATATAAACAAGGGTAAGTCAGAAAAATCCTCAATCCAAATAAGGGTATATCAAATAAATCCTCAATCCAAACAAGGGTATGTCAGTCAGATAAATCCTCAATCCAAACAAGGGTTAGTCAGATAAATCCTCAAATCAAACAAGGGTAAATCAGAAAAATCCTCAATCCAAACAAGGGTAAGTCAGATAAATCCTCAATCCAAACAAGGGTAAGTCAGATAAATCCTCAAATCAAACAAGGGTAAGTCAGATAAATCCTCAATACAAACAAGGGTAAGTCAAATAAATCCTCAATACAAACAAGGGTACATGTAAGTCAGATAAATCCTCAAATCAAACAAGGGTAAGTCAGATAAATCCTCAAATCAAATAAGGGTAAGTCAAATAAATTCTCAATGCAAACAAGGGTAAGTCTGATAAATCCTTAATCCAAACAAAGGTAAGTCAGATAAATCCTCAATCCAAACAAAGGTAAATCAGATAAATCTTCAATCTATACAGGGGTGGTTGTGAAAATAGATTAAACCTTGACATCAAGTCATGCTGAAGCCATAGCAATGGACTTCAAAGGACATTAGGTGATTACCTGATTCAGATTGACAAAAGTTGAACTTACGAAGGATGTGCAATTTTATTGGTATTTCCTTATTTTTGATTGTGTGATACGTATCGTGATATGGAGACTAAAATATCGGTATTTAGGTACATAATTATAAAATCCAGAAATTATTCATTTATTTTTTCAAACTTTCAAATTTCAATTACAGGATGTGTTAAAAAATGTTGTAAACGGTGAAAGAACAGCATCCTAATATCCAAACATACTTTTATTATGTAAATAAAAAAATTAAGTTATGTTTTTCTAGCATATTTTTAGGAAAAATAATGAATATTTAAATCATTGTAAAAATTGCTTGTAAAAATTTCAGATATTATTGTGATATTTTTGGGAAAAATAGTGATATATCATGATGCGGAATTGCGATACCCGACCCTAAAGCCTACTGAAATCAATAAAATTTGTTTGCTGTAACAATTATGTTTAATTTTATGTAATAAGACAATTATGTATGTGATTCCTGTGAAAATTTTGTTACCAAATTTTTATAATGGAATTTAAAGTAGCAGTATATCATAAAAAGATAATAAAGTAAAAATGGATAGGGGTCTCTATTAACGATATGTGTGAAGGGGAACAAATGGTCTTTAAAAAAAAAAAAAACAGGAAAATTATACTTTATTTTCAGAATTTATCATATGCTGCTGAAAATAATCCATGTAATTTCTTATAACTTCAGTACAAGAAATATGATTTACAGGTACCCATTCTGACTCTTTCTGGTCACAAAGAGGGAATATCCTCCACAGAGTGGTTAAGTAGGTCAGAAGTTTGCACAGCATCATGGGATCACACACTGAGGCTATGGGACATGGAAAAAGCAACACAAACCTCACTAATAGTAATAAAAGGACTGAATATACTGAAACACTATAAGGACTTTGATTTCAATCTGATTGTTAATTCACCTGTACTTTTCTAATGTTATCTTGCATAGTAAAGATGGCCATATAGGAAGCATGTCATTTGCTTTTTGAGCCATTCATACATTGGGAATCACTCTTTAAGAATAACATTGATCATATGTGTATAGTCCAAGCACTATTTCACATTTTAGGAAGTTTACTACTAGTGTGAGGAAAATGATATTTGGAATTTTGAAATATAGAAATTATTTTATGTATGTATGTATCAATAACTGTACATTGTGTAATGTGATCTTTTCAGCAAGGGAGCAAAGTAATTTTAGACCTGTCCTTCTCCCCTTTAAACAGACAGATTATCATTGCATCAGCAGACCGATATATCAGGCTCTGGGACCCCAGAGTGTCACGTAAGTTCACGGAGAGGTCAGAATGTGGAATTATATGTGTTAGGGGATTGATATCTGTCGAAATGTCCCTCATATTTATTAACATTGTATAAATGCAATGAAGATTTTTATTATAGATGTACAGTTGAGGATAAGATGTTATTTATTGATTCAAATATGAGTGAAGTTTATGTTTTCCACCTGAAAAGAAAATCATTCAAGTCATTCAAATGCATCTTAAATTTACTGTTTTATAGTTATACCTACATTCAGTACATTGTTTTACCATAAAAATAAAGTTACATTTTAAGAAATATGATCACCTGCACAAGGTCCTGACTGTTAATTGTCTACATCTCTTTCAACCTTACATTATTAATCATCTTTTGTAGATGGTACCATTATTAAGTGTACCTATACCTCACACAATGGCTGGGTATCAGGTGTTAGCTGGTCCCCAGTGAACCAGTTTCTTTTCATCTCAGGCTCATATGACTGTGTAATGAAATTATGGGACACAAGAAGGTATTCTCTCTCTCTCTATCTCTCTCCCAGATCTTGAATTTATTGTGTTTGCTATTTTATATCTTTCAAAGATATTTTATTTGCTTTTTCGTTATATTAATAGCTGTAGATGTATAGTGTTTCTTTCCATTTTGAACTCTAAAAATTAAGGTTTTTCATCCCTCTGATCAATTATGTAATTTTTTTTTTTTTTTTTGATGAATGAACAATTTCAGTATACCATATGGTGAAAAAATTTTCAGACAATATTATAAAGGAACAATCCTGTGAAATCAGTAGAGGTCAATGTTTATGGGCAAGCAAAATTTTACTTGTTCACGAGGACGTAATTTCGTGGGTTACTCATTTATAAGGTAGATTCAATGAATCAATATTCTTACGAAATAAATGTTTGTGTTGATGTAAATTCATGGATGACCCATGAAGTCCATGAACATTGGTCCGGCACGAGCAATGATTCCATGGTACTCATTAATGCTTATTAGAGTTACCTCTCTTATCAGAGGGTCAGTGAACCTTAAGTCAAAGAAATTGAAATAGAAGATTCTTTCATACTAAACGTATTTCCTACATAGCTTACCAGGATTTATTTTTTATAATGACAGCCCAAAGTCTCCATTGTACAACATGAGTGGCCATGAAGAGAAAATCCTTGCAGTTGATTGGTCAATCCCGAGCCTACTTCTGTCTGGTGCGGCTGATAATCATCTGAAGATTTTTCAGTACAGAGACATGCAGTCTTCTAAAGGGAAATAATATTAGCTGTTAACTAATGATGTATAGAAATGAGAAATATGTGTGTTAAAATAAAACTTCTTAATGTTATGCTTTGAATTGTTTAAAAAAGGATTTCTATAATAAAAATGAGAATTTAATTTTTTTAGTCCTTAACTTTGTGTTTGGATAGAAAGAAACAGTCAACAATGAGATTTGAACTTACAGACTGAGACTTGCATTTGTTTTTGTGTCAAATGTGTATTATTGATACTATAAATAAAGGATTATGAATTGGATTTAATGTGACCAAATACAATGTGACAACAACGTTCTATGAGTACCAACAATTTTGTGCTTGACCGTGGATTTCACCAACTTTTGAAAAACTTAAATCTGGCCATAAGTTTCAATGGTTGGTGCTAGAGCTTTCATATTTCATGTGTTTTCCTTGTGACAAGTTATTTCTTTGGGTACCAATAATTTTGTCCTTGACTTTGGAGTATGTTCTTTTTAAAACATTAACACTGGACATAAGTTTTGAATGGTTGGAGGTAGGGCGTTCATATTTCATACGTGTATTCCTTTTAACAAGACTTTCCATAAGGTTCCAACAATTTTGACCTTGACATTGGAGTTTGACCTGCTTTTGAAATATTTTAACCTTGACCATAACTTTTAAATGTTTGGTGCTAGGGTTTTAATATTTCATGTGTTTTCCTTTTGACAACTTTCACCCGGTACATGTACCAACAATTTCGACTTCTTGACCTTGACCTTGGAGTTTCACTTACTTTTGAAAAACTTTAACCATAAATTCTGAATGGTAAATGCAAGGGCTCTTATATTTCACATGTGTATTCCTCGTTACAAGACCTTTCGTTGGGTAATAACAATTTTGACCTTTAACTTGGAGTTTGACTTGCATTTGAGAAAAACTTTAACATTCCACATGAGCTGCCATATGGGGACATCAGTATTTCCAAGGGAAATTCTTATCACAAGGAACACATGTATGAAAGTCCTAGCACCCACCACTCAAAAGTTAATATGGCCAAATGAATATATTATAGTTTGGTAAAATTTTGCAAAAGTGTTTGTTGAAGAGCTGATCTGCTTTTCCTCCTTGCTGTATATAATATTGATTACCAGTAACAGATCTAAGTTGTGTAATGTTATGGCTATTATATCTTATATGATCCCTGGGGGTAGGGTGTGGCCACAAAAGGGAATCCAAGTTTTATTTAGAAATATATAAGAAAAAAATTTCAAAATCTTCTCAAGAACCACTGGGTCAAAAAAGCTGAAACTTATGTGGAAGTACTGTAAACCAACTAATATTCGCGTCATCTTTTTTTTGCGATTCATCGGTTTAAAAACTATCCACAATTAATTTTCGTGACTGAGGAAACATCCTATACAAATTCAATGCAAAATAAATGGTTCGCGGCTATTAATATTCGCAAGTAAAAGTGGGTCACGAAACTCGCGAATATCTCTCGCACTGAATAAAAGTTGGTTTACAGTATCCTGAGGTAGTGTAGATCATATATTCTAAATTGTTCAAATCATGACCTCGGGGGTAGGGTGTGGCCACAAAAGGGAATCCAAGTTTTACATTGAAATATATAGAAGAATTCTTTAAAAATCTTCTCGGAACAACTGGGCCAGAAAAGCTTAGATTTATGTGGAAGCATCCGGGATAGTGTAGATTCTAAACTGTTCAAATCATGACCCCTGGGGTAGGGCGTGGCCACAATAGGGAATCCAAGTTAACACTGAAATATAAAGGAAAAATTTTTACAAAAATCTCAAGAACCACTGGACCAGAAATCTGAAACTTATGTGGAAGCATCCTGGGGTAGATCAGATTCTAAATTGTTCAAATCATGGCCCCCAGGGGTAGGGTTGGGCCACAATAGGGAATTAAAGTTTTACAAGGGGGAAAGTGGTGAAGAACAGCAGGGCCAAATTTAATCAGGTGAGCGTTATGGCCTATGGGCCTCTTGTTACAATTTCAACAATATCAACCAATCAACTTGGCAGAAAATATCCTTGGTTAAAGGGAATTCAAGTGTTGCTTTTTTTCCAAATGAAGAGTTGTGCCCTCTTTCAAGGGGAGATAATAAAGCGAGAATTTCAAAAATCTTTTTCTGAAGAACCACTGGCTAGTTGAATCTTATGTCCAAGCGCATTGTGTAGATTCAAGTTTGTTCAATTCATGAGCTGGGGGTAAGTGTTGGGCCACAATGGGCAATCAAAATTTAACATAGGAATATATATATATATATATATATATATATATATATATATATATATATGTGTGTGTGTGTGTGTGTGTGTGTGTGTGTGTGTGTGTGTGTATATATATATATATATATATATATATATATATATATATATATATATATATATATATATATATATACCTGGTATAGGAAAAACACCTCAAGAACACCAAAGGCATGCAGATTAGTTCATATGTTTTTTAAAGCATCCACAGGTAGTGTAGACTCGAGTTGTTTAAATAGCACCGGAGTAGGGTGGGCCACAATAGGTGATTTCTTTTTTTTTTTAAGCTCACCTTAGTGAAAGGCTCAGTGCATTTCCATTGTCAGCGTTGTCATTATAAAGTTTTTACATTTTCATCTTCTTTTCTAGAACCACTGGACAAAGAAGAAGGTACGGTTTTAGCTTTATTGTGCCCTAAAAAAATTAATGCTTTCAAAAAGTTTTGAAACTGGCTTAAATATTAGTTGAGTATATGACTGTGATAAATCAGGAAGGAATAGAGCATGAAGGAGTACCATATTCTGGACATATGACGTCACGAATTTGATGCATTTCTCTATTTTAAACAGAAAATGCCTCAATATGGCCCATTTCTAGGGTTATTTTCTTTAAGAAAATAGTGTCCACAGCTGTCGCCCACTTTAATTTTCGGATATGTTGTGTAAAATTCTTTGAAAAATCATATATTTCAAAATCTTTGTGGGCGCGATGCCTGTGGACAATATTTTCTGAAAGAAAATTTCATTGAAAATTAGTGTCTTCTGCATCTTTTTAAGAAAATACGGGAAAATGCACAGGTTTATGACGTCACAGTTAGCATTTAGAAGGTCATGTGAGAAAAATGGTTTGTATGATCTTTATTTCTGCATGGAATTTCAATGATTAAAAAAGCTTAAGTTTTAATTTTTTTACATCACTTTCATTTTTAAGAAAAACACAGGGCAAGATTTGTATTGAAACCGTACCTTGTTCTTTCAACCTGATTTGACACAAAGTATCAAAATCAAATGTAATTAAGAAGTGGAAAAAAAATTGTTGGGTCATTTGAAAATCTTCTCATTAACCACTGGGCCAGAAAAGATGAAAATTAAGTGAAAGCTTTCTGGGGTCTGTAGATTGAAGTTTCTTCAAATCATGACCCCAGGAGGAAGGGTGGGGCAATGTGGGCAATCAAAGTTTTACATAAGAATATATTGGAAAAAAGTCTTCTTCTGAAGAATAGTAAATCATTTATATGGAAGCATCCTCAAGTAGTGTAGATTCAAGTTTGTTCAAATGATAACACTTGGGAGTAGGGGATGGTCATATTTGTCGAGATTTTACAGAGGATTGTATGGGGAAAATATGATAAAGAATTACTCAGGTGAGCATTGCAGCCAATAGGTCTCTTGTTTCTGTTTGCCATTTATTTTCTGTCCACCCAGAAAGGGATGCTGTGAAAAATGCTACATTTCCAATAACTTATATGTGAAGAGTATTATATTATTTAGTATCTGCTGGCGCACGAAAGGATGTTTGTTGGTTTGGAGAGTACATTGCAACATCAGCGGTAGACGAATCAGTATGACACCGGTTAGAATGAACTCTTTCAAAAAGGAGGTAACAAAGGACTGTACTCCATTTTCCGGTAAACAAAAACAAAACAAAGGCGTAGTATTTTACTCGATAAAGAAGAGGCAGAAACACAAGTAAATGATGACTGGTGGTAAATCTAAAGCTGACAGTTCTACCGACTCAAAATGTCGTAACGAGGGACGTTCATCTCTCCCAAGGAGGCGAGCTGCCAAGGTGTCCTACTCTGAAACGGGAGGTTTTGAGACGGATTTAGCCCTTGCTGTTCAGGAGAGCCTGAGGTATGCTAGGCAGGCAGAACGCGAGGCCAAAGCAAAAGAAGAGGGCGTAATAACCATTCCCAGCGACGAAGAAGATGATCTGAGACCAACCAAGTTTACTGATGGTTCGGTTGGAGAATGCGTCATGCAAAGTTGTGCACACATGAAAGATTTACTGATGATCAATCTGGATCTTGTCCAACACCAACAGGAAGTGTTGACAGAGAGAGACAAAGAGATCCGCGCTCTCAAAGCTGAAAACAACACGGTACGTAGTTTTATATAGTCATGGTCTTCAAGACCATACTGTTAAGAGATTGTATTTTGTTTACAATTCCAGAGAATCTATGCTTGTTTTTTGTTTTGGGGCAACTATCATGTATGTACAAAGTGGTTGAGGGGTATTCACCGTATTGACTTTGTCGCCCTTTTTCCTCTTACAATTTTCAAACAGAAACTTGTTCCAAATTAAAGACATTCAGGGACCAACTTATTACAAACATAATCACTAAGTATGTGCAAAATAGCAAGCACCAGAGGACATGTTGTAACAATCAGCAAGACACCTCAGAACATGTACCAACACTCATTCTTTGTAGACGCATGCATACACTGGAACCATCTCCCAGGCAATGTGATACATGTACATGCAAGCATTGTACATGTTGTAAGGGGATATAAGACTGCCCTACAGGAGTTCCACCAATAAAATCTGGCATTCTCTCATGAAATATGGAGATAACAAACAGTATTAAAGCTCAAAAGTCTATTCAACCATACAAATCAGGGGCAGAGCAAACACGAACCTCCAAAAAAATCGGAGGCAGGACCAGGTACCTATGAGGAGTAAGCATTCCTTGTTCATCTGTTGTAAAAAAAAAAAAAAAAAAAAGCCATATTGGACTCTATAACAGGCAGGGGCACTTGAAGTTAATGTACATGTATATATACAGTATGTGCATGTATAATTATATACAAACTATATAATTATTTACATTAACTTCCAGTGCAGTGTAAAGATCTCACAATCAGTATGTTAATTTTGAATCCTGACAGTGAGAGTTCTGCACTTTATGAAGAATATCTCATTAAATACAATACATTCTGGATGAATAGTTGGCAGAGAAAAAAAATAAAGCAGAGAAATTTTTTCAGGGACAAAATTTTTCATGCGCAAGAAAAATGGAGTCCAATGAACAGACCTTATATCGCCTTTTTTAGTACATATATAAAAGCACCTGTTCATGTGTTACTTTGTATTTTTACCCCTTTCCCATAGGCATTATGGGCCTTTTGATATCCATTTTAAGAGTTCCCATTATAAAACATATGTTACAGTGAGAATTTTTATGTATGGTTTAGAATATGCAATCATTTCCTGTGAAATTGTGGAAGGATTTACTGGTTTAATTAGGTTAGTCTCCTTAAATTGTGCTTTTTCGACATGATAATCAAAAGAAATTCAAACAAGACATTATGACACTCTAGCTGCAATAATGTAGCCCTCTCTGATTTTTTTTAAATCTGATATTTTCAGGAGAGGTCCTCTCCCAAAAAAAAAAAAAAATGGAGAGGGCTACATTATTGCAGCTAATGACACTCATGTATCCCTTTAAGCATAATTAATACATGAATATCTGCATTTGGAGAGCTGGGTTGGCATTTGGTGAAAAAGGTCAACATTGAGGGATGTTAGATCGCAATTCGCCAGTTGACCTGTAAGTGACCCAAGAGAACAAATTTGAAGAGTTGAGGTGTTAGTTTAAATGATAAAATACCTTTGTAGAATTCAGTTATAATTTATGTAGTAGTAGAGTTTCAAATAAACCATAAAAAAAAATTGTCGCTGAAAAAAATTCCATTATTTTTATTATTTTTTTTTTATTATTTTAAATGTAAAAAAAAAATTAAATAAAAAATTGATCTATCAAACAAAGAAATTCCTTAATTTATATGGTGCAAAATTTTTCCTTGTAAAAGCTATTTTTACACATTGCGCCACAGGGTAATGAATCTTAGAGTTTTTGAGTTTTGATACTGCCCCTTTTTCTTATTTGGTTTAGCATTGCATCCAGTTTTTGTTTTGCCCTATGAAATATATTAGTCCCTGAACGTTGTATATTAGCTGAAGCATCCCTAATAAGCTGGATGCAAATAAAAAATATATTTTTGTTGTAAAAAGCATGTGTATGTCTACATTGCTATTATTTTTTGTTTTCATCACGTGATTGATCATGTGGTCGAAACACGCACGTCTTTGTTATCAAGCGGATCAGCCAACCGTTTGGCGTCTATTTTCAAATTCCCACCACTCTATCGCCTCTGGTGATATGAGTACAGGTTTTTACGGGAGAATCAGAAAAATGACGGATGTCCTTGTGCCAAATAAGTTTTCAGTTTCTGTAAGGAACTTCTTCCGATCCTGTAAACGCCCAGCATTGAATAATAACGGGGTAAGTTTTTCCAAGATGGCAGACGAGATCATGATCAAAATTTATTGTTATTTTCATAGGTCCTGCACAAATCGTGTTACAAGAAATTGATTAAGAAACGACTAATAATAGTTAATGTTTTATTCTAATAGACAATTTAGCAATTTCGTTGATCAGAAATGTTTGATAATTGATGCAATAGATCCATGTATTTTATGCCAGAATGGCTACATATTTCATGGCGGAATAACGTGTGCTGTCGTGTACCGTTATTATGTGGCCGTTGTCCTAGCTGATGATCGATACGTCTCGTACTTGCTTTAGGTTTTACCTATCACAATGGAAACAAGAAAATTGGAGGTTAAAAATATATAGGATAAAGTGAAATCGCACCGCTCAGCAAAAGGAAATGTTTTTTTAACATGTTAAGACAGATATATTTTATCTATGAAAATTAAACAGGTGCTTGGAGTACACTGTAAATAAATACACTGATAATGTTTATTTACGGTCGTGCAATTCAGTGATTTATCCTTTGACAAGCTCAGGAGTTAAATTGGATAACAACTTACATGCAAAATCTTGCATGATAGATTATTACCCATCTAAATATTTATGATAGACTGGGATTAAAGGGTACTTTTAAAACATAAAACAACAATGGTTTATTGAAAATTTGTTTATAAAAAATAAAGAAATGCAAACGGAATATAAAATTTGGTGTCCTGTAACAGTCAGTACTTTTATGTCCACCATCTGTTTTCAGTTGAAATGTCGCCTGGAAAGAATGGAGAGGAGGATGGCCTTATTGAAGCAGAAAGAAGACTCAGATTTTATCATGGGAAACTCACCTAGAAGTCCAGCTAGCAGAAACAAAGCTGACACAGAAAACCCCACCCCTGCTGAGAGAGGGGTTAAAAGGTTGACCTATTTTATATATAAATTTGAAACACATTTATGCTGCAACAGCATACAACATGTGCAATGATAGCAGATCTTAAGTTTTTGTATGAAATGTTTTGCATTTATAAAAGAGCCTGGAAAAGAGATGGTGATCCTATGCAATATTGACAATGCATTGCATGTATAAACAGGAAGCTTTGAAAATGAAAGTGAAAGTGCTTTTTATTCATTAGTTATCTGTAATTTTCTAATTTATACAAAGAGTGCAGGCAGCTATGAAATTGTGTTTTACTAGCCATGACAAGGATATTAGTTATATGAAATTTATATACCTGAGCAGTTTTTGTTTACTTGTCAACATGTGAGACACATGTCTGTTTAGGAGAACTATATATGTCATCCAATCAGAAAACGTTTTTCAACTTACAAAGGGAATGTGTCAAAACTTATTAGTTTGAAATAGGAAAGAAAAATAACTCTTCTAAACAAAGTTATTGATTTCCTTTATATGTCAGACAGCGATTTTTTTCTACCCATAGGGAAAGTGTCCGGTACTGGTTCAATTGGGAAAAATAGCATCAAAGCAAAACAAAGGAGAATTTTCTGTCATTTCAACAAATGAAACATATTTCATGTTTATTCCAACCTCTTTACTATTACTCCGTGTTTTAAAGAATAAACAGCAAGTATTTATTTCTTTTCATATCAATGTCCCTTGTTTTCACATTTTCATGCTTTCAATTTGTCAAAATGTATGTCACGACGCTGTCTACACCACAGGTCCCGCGATATTATGATTAATATCTACTTTCATTTACAGCGGAAGTGAAACAATTAGTGAACTTGTACAATGTTTCATATAAAAAGAAATATGATGTCATCGTAGTCAATTAAATTGGGAATTTTTAGTCTCAAAATTGGGAAAAATTAACGTTTTTTGGCATTGGGAATGGTACCGTTTATCAGACCGGTACCAGTTAGATAAGGAAAAAAAACCCTGTCAGCTCATGCTGTTTGACACATTATTGGAGACCAAGAAATCGTGAATTATTTTTGTCTCTAATATCTATCCACAGAAAGAGCAATGTAGAAGCTGAGAACATTTCTAAGAGGTTGGCCTTGGATGAAAATGACACACCGAGTACATCATCCAAGTCTTACCACAAACTAAAGAGACGGGCATTACACGAAGCCAGCGCAGCCTCTCCCACCCACACCACACGTCAAAAGACCACCCAGATACAGGAGGCGGTCCACCTACCCACCCCAAGGCAGAAGTCATGGGCAGCCACACCGGACAGTAATTCACCTTATAAAAAGAAGTTGTTGCCTGTCCTCAAAGATCAGAAAGGAGATAATGTGTTAAGAACCAATGAACCATACTATGTCTCGCACTATGAGCCGCTGGATGAGGATTTAAGCTTTAGAAAGGATATTGTACAGAAGGAAGACACACACTTAGAAGGTATGAATGGATGTACACTGTACAGTTAGTTAGTAATGAATAATGATGTTATGATGAATTAGAATATTTGTTTCCTTTTGTTTTCATCTTGAAACTATAGAATTCTGGTTGAAGATGTTTTTAAGTGAAAAAAAAATGGCAAGGTTAAAAAAAAAATGTGTGTGTAACAAAGTATGTAACAACGTAAATTGTGCAGTTTGTGTTGTAGATGATCTAATAGTCTAAGATCTAAATATTAGAAGGATATTCCCCCCCCAGCCCCACCCCCCGAATAATGTAATTTTGAGTGTGCTTCAATTCAATTAAATTGGCAGTGTTAATAAATATAACTTTGAAGTTAACTGTTTTAATTTTTCTGTGCCTTTGAAAAAAAAAAATACATGTATATTCTGATTCAAGGATATAATTTTAGATTATTGACAAATTAATGAACCCATTTGTTAAATGTTACTTTCTGTTTACAGTGAAATTACCGAGCTGGAGACCTCGTAAATATCCAAGTCTGTGGGTGCTAGAAGGAACTGAGGTAAGTTGGTAGAGTTATCTTTCTTAGAATAATAGTTGTTCCAGGTTTGAAAATATCAAGCAAGTACCAAGCAGTGTTGCTTAGAAAATCTCTTTCACCCTGAAAAGGGGGTTTGTGTTCTTTGAGAAGCATCAAACTTTAACCCCTCCACCACACTCCATTAATTTTTTTTTTTTTGAAAAAACCCTAATGAAGCATATAGTTCTGAAAATATTTTGGACTGATACACGTTTTGGACAATCCAAACAAAGCTTATCCAGTTCTTCATTTTAATTGTTCAGTGTACAGTTATATTGATTGGTCCAGGCATCTTTTTATCAGTGTAGCTTACATGTAGCAGCTGACAGGATGGGGGATTTCCATCAACATTGCCAAAAACAACACATAAAACCACACATAAACCTCAATTTATAAGAATAGATGTTAAGCTGCTAACAGTATATTGTCCATATCAGAGCAAAGTAGAACTAAAAATTATTAGCACATTTTTTTTTCATTTACCTTGAATGTCACCTTTACAGAATTTAGAAGATGAAGTATTTGTAAAGAGACATCAGAAACTAGAAGTGGAGGAAAAAAGAAGAAAAAGGTAACATTAATATCCTTAATACTTCTTATGTATGCTTGCAGTTGAACTTTCAAATTTAATACATGTTGCTTATTGAAATTAAAGGTAAAGAGACACCTCTGAATTTTTCTTAAAAGCAATGCTTTACCTTGTTTAAGCAATATGAGCTGCATTTTTGAAAATTTTATTTTGCTGTTAAAATGTGCTGTTATGATAAATCTGAATGTAATTCAATCCTTTATGATCATTTAGACTAAAATAAAGTATTTAATTTTTTCAGAAGAAAGATTTCTGTACTTTGGAATGTGTAGTATTATATAAGAAATCAAAATTGTACAGGATGACAATAATGTAATTTTTCCTCAATCAAACCTTATGAATAATTCTTCCATTGCAAATATGAACAACAGAAGTTTATAATCGTTCTTTTTTTCTGTGATTGAAATAGTTAATTACAATATTGCAACAAAAATTTCCGATGTCAAAGTTGCAGCTCATTGAATTATTAACAAGAAAAAAATTACTTCAGAACAGTGTGAAAACTTGTTGTCATGTAACATATTGTACATAATGATTTCACTTCTTATAGGTGGGATATGCAGAGGATAAGGGAGCAGAAAATCTATGAAAAGTTAAAGGAAAAAGAGAGAACTGCAGAGAACCTGAAAAAAGGAGAGGACCAGCATGTAGATACCTTTTACCCCACACTGGAAGATAGTAAGTATAGGTGACAGTGTGTTAAGTTTCATCAGTTATCACAGAGCAACTTCCTTAGTTTTTGTCGAGTAATCTTTGAGCTCTTAAATGAAAGCACGTCAGTTTGTCTTTCTTTGGCTTAATGGCTGTTTGGGTTTTTTTTACACAGAGTAGATCTGCCTGTGTAAATTCTGAAAATAAAAATATAAGTAGGAGAACTGACTCACAACAATAATATTTTACCAATATATATTATAATAGATAATATTGCAGGGCTCTACATTAACTTTTTTTCCTACTTGTCCATTTGGACAAGTGACCAAGACATTTACTTGTCCGAACTTCAACTTCACTTGTCCGAAAATTTTTCAATAAAGATCTAATACTGTTAACTGAAAAACTAAAAATAAAGTCCATTATATGTGCATGATGTTATTTATAAATACAACAAACACATAAAAAAAATTTTACCTAGACTTTCTGTCCTGTCAACATAAAACAGAATCCAAACTTCGTCAGTTCCATGCCTTAGCAGTAGTATGCAATTGGTGAACTTCGATCCTGATCGAGTGTACTCAATTACATAGCGATCTATATCGAGATCGAAGTTTGGTTTTTATGTACTGTTTCCGTCTTAAAGTACCGGAGAACTTTCAACAGTCATTCTTTATTAAATATTTAGAGACTTCTTTACATAAAAATGCACCTGTCCAATCGGACAAGTGCCCATCAATATTCACTTGTCCGTATTTTTTTTTCACTGGTACCGGACAAGCGTTAATGTTGAGCCCTGTATTGTCTGTTAAACCTTTATTTCACAAGTGTGAGGCTCATCTAAGTGTATTTACAAAATTTGTAATAAGTTTATATATAGAGGAAGTCAATTCTTTTCAAAATGTTAACTACCCCCACACCCCCTATCAATTCTAAAAATAATTAGAAGAGTGTTCAAAATTGCATGCTAATCCCTGTGTATTTATTATTGACATAGAGAAAGAGATGTTAAATCTTTTCCTAAACTTTGAGGTATTTGAGAGGCAAATCTACGGAAGCGTAATAGGGCCGCAGCAGTATCTTTTATTAATTTGTTTTAACAAATTACTAATTTGTTTTAACAAATTACTAATTTGTTATAACAAATTATCAATTTGTTATAATAAATTATCAATTTGTTAAAACAGATTACTAATTTGTTATAACAGATTATTAATTTGTTATAACAAATTACTAATTTGTTATAACAAATTATCAATTTGTTATAACAAATTATTAATTTGTTATAACAAATTATTAATTTGTTATAACAGATTAGTAATTTGTTATAACAAATTACTAATTTGATATAACAAATTATCAATTTGATATAACAAATTATTAATTTGTTATAACAAATTATTAATTTGTTATAACAAATTATTAATTTGTTATAACAGATTAGTAATTTGTTATAACAAATTACTAATTTGATATAACAAATTATTAATTTGATATAACAAATTAGTAATTTGTTATAACAAATTAGTAATTTGTTATAACAAATTAGTAATTTGATTTAAAAAATTATTATTTTTTACAAAATATGAAGGTGAATACAGATCTATGGAAGCCAGATCAGATCAGATCAGAAATCTTATTTTAAATCGGTTTTATGAACACGTTAAGCATAAGCTTTGGAGAGCTTTTGATCAATATGTTAATGTGGATTTAGATGAATTAACAACTTAGATTAAAGCACTTTAATTTTTGTTTAATTGCAGGGTTTTTTTTAATTTTTGTTTTGTTTTGTTGTTGTTTGTTTGTTTGTTTTTTTTTTTGAGTCAGTTCCTTGGAATAGATTTCTCTGTTAGACAATTAAAAGAATAGCTACATCCCAGGGATTATGTAGAAGAAATACAGAATGTTGGATCCTTCGAGAAAAATTCGAAGTTCCGGACAATTAAATATGATTTCAACGTCGTCCATTCAAATCAACACTTTTTTCAATGTCAACACAGGGGTCAAAAGGGGAGAAGACCTATTTTTTCCTTCTTTACACATGTGTAATATTTTGTGTGTATTGTTATAACAAATTATATTGCTTAACGATTTCTTGTAAAATATATGAGTAGTCCAATATGAGACAACCAGGATACAAATTACAAATGAATTTGAACAACTGTCAAAGTTTTCAGCCAATAATAAGTTATGAAGGCTTTAGTGGGACTTCGAGGGCTTTTCCAAAAGGCACGTATTTTGATTATAAAAATTACATACATACATGAAAAAATTTCACAAGGTATCTAAATTCAAATTTTACGAAGTACTACCCACTCAAGAATATTGTTTATTTTCGTTTTCAGAAAAGGTTATTACAGAGTGTTTATCAATTTTTCTATGATAATTTATCTACAAATTCATTTTTTATCAATGTTGCCTTTATTGCCCCCAGCATAAATTGGAGCCAAGGAGGTTCACCAGAGGAGCAGATTCAGGTTTATGCATTAGGAACGGCGGTTTAGTTTAAAATATATTTTATTCATGATACATAAACTGGATTGAACAGTAGGCATAAATCATTTGGTACATGTATAGAATGAATCGAGAAAGAGAGAGGGAGGGGGGGGGGTAAAATGAAATAAAATAAAAGACATATTGAAAAAAAAAACATTATAATAAACATGTTGATTCAGGGTGGGAAAAATTCCCTCTCCAAATAACATGTCTTTGATAAGATATTTTTTCCTAGCATACGAACGGGGATGCAATGACCTGGTAGATGGGAGTCAAGGACGGAGCCCTGGTGGGGGAGGAGGACAAAATTCAAATAGAGCTCCTAAGAATAAGTAAATAGGAACCAAAGAATTTGATGCATTGTATCTTTATAACAATAATGTTTGACAGTGAAAACTCTAGATGCTAAAAGATGTAAATCCAGATTAAAAAATTGGTCAAAAGCTGTAGCTGCAGAGCTTGTACATTTATTATTTTCACAAATCCAACTTATAAAAAGATTTCTGATCTCATCTGGCTTCCATAGATCTGTATACACTTTCACTTTATCAAAATTATTAATTTGTTATAACAAATTACCAATTTGTTATAACAAATTATTAATTTGTTATATCAAATTAGTAATCCGTTATAACAAATTAGTAATCTGTTATAACAAATTAGTAATTTGTTTTAACAAATTAGTAATTTGTTTTAACAAATTAGTAATTTGTTTTAACAAATTGATAATTTGTTAAAACAAATTAGTAATTTGTTATAACAAATTAGTAATCTGTTATAACAAATTAGTAATTTGTTAAAACAAATTAATAGAAGATACTGCTGCGGCCCTAATACGCTTCCGTACAAATCAGATGCTAGAAGGAAAATACACACTTGAATAGAAAAATGAGAATGGATCATAACAAAAATGCATAATGGTTTTGTGTTAAGAGATGTACCATGTATTTTATTTTGCAGTCACTCATATAGAAGTATGTAACAAGATTCCTGTGATGGCCTTTGGACATGCTTTGCCAAATTTAAAATCTGTGTAAGCATTTTATCTATTTTTGAATACTTTAGAATCCTAAGTATACATGAGGAGTTCATTATCACTTAATTTTGCAAGAAGCACCACCTGCTAAATAAAATTACTCTGTTTTATTTTAAATTGCTGAAATTCTTGTAAAAACTTTTCATCAACTGTCCAACTGTTGAATTCATGTTCCTGTGTCATTTTGCAATGTTGAGAAAATAAAAAAATCTTCAGTAATTACAATAATAACTGATTTTGTTTGAATGTGGGATTCGTTCACATTACCCTTTTAAATCTAATTTACCATACAGTAAGGACACAATGTTTTGCTATCAGAATTTAATTTCTTTGGAAAGGGAGAAAAAAGGAAAATAGAAAAATATCAACAATATATTAAAAGTTAAAAAATGTTTTATTTAAAATTGTTATATTTATTGAAATTATTATATATATGTATTGCAGGGATTTTTCTCTTCCTTGGGAGGTTGATGCCAGTAAAGCTGTAGCTACATCTCGGTCGTCAAGGCATGGCCGCTCTAGGTGATCGTCAAGACTACCCGGTTATTTCTGTACCACACGATTGTGTTCATTGTATGCCAGGAACGGTGACAAAATAGTATACCTGCCATTGTATGTGCTACAGTTAGTGTCTTGCAAAAGTAAATTTTCATCATTGTTCAACATCCTTGCCTAGTGAAATGATGCTTTAGTCATAATTACATAACGGTCTCCTTGCAGTGTTGTAAACTGAGGAGAAAAGAATCCTCAGTAAACCATTCTTTGACTATTAAAGACAATATGAATGTTAATTTTGTTGACATTTAGTGCTCACATGGGTTGTCCTGTTTGCGGTTTTAAATCAAGTAAATAATAAAGTATATGTAGGTATTTTTATTTAAATTGTTGATTACTTTAAAAGATTTCATAATTTAGAGTTGAAATATACTGCAAAGCATTGCAGGATTTGTTTTAAAATTCTTGGCAAAAAGTGAATGCCATTAAATGTTTACATATGTATTCTTTTCCTTTTCTAACCTATGTATGTAGTAAGATTTTTACCCAAAGTGGACCAAAGCACATCCACATTTTATTTATTGATGAATCTGTTGTTATGTTTGATAAATGTAGAAGTTTTTCAGATATTGTGTTTCTTGTTTTATTTTCTAAATCTTTGTATGATAATCTGCTGTGTAATAGAAGTCTATGTGCAGAATCTGTGAGAGTAGAAATGTACATGTATCTTGCTGCTGACATTGTTAAAGTAAGTCGTAGCATCCGTGTATAACTATCTTAAGCCTTGCTTAACTATCCTCCAGTCCGGTGTAACTATCCTAAATGTGGATAATTATCCATGAATTCTTCTGCACTATCCTAAAATAAGACTTGAAGGCTGGTGTAAGTATCTTATATCTGGATAATGTATACAGGGTTATTCTCGCTCTTTTACACTTTAAAACAATTCTGCCCCCTTTGAAATTTGCTCAGACAGTTTTGTGCCAGAGATAGTATGGTTTTCTTTGAATACTCCCTGTTTTAAATTCACCCATTTGTGATAAGGGCGAAAATAAAACAAGGGCATAAATTTCCCTGTATACAGTAATAATCTTTTAGTCTTCTGTAACTATCCTAAAGTCTAATATAACTATTCTCCTGTCTGGTATAACTATCCTACATGTATATATGGATAATTATCCATTTAAATCTTGTATAATTATCCTAAAATCTAGTGTAGTTTTCCTGAAGTCTTGACATTAATAATTATCTCGACTTGTTTAAGATGCATGTACTGGTGAAAGAATTCTGTCATACAGTTTGAGTTTAACGATAAGAACTTGATATGCTTCCTATCTGAGTGTGTAAGTAGAGATGAGAAACTTTCTCTTTAAAGATGTTACAATCCTTTTCTTTAAATGTAATGAATGTTGAAGTGGATTTCAGTGTAAATTTGTTCTTAAAATAAATGCTTTATAAATGTTGATACTCTTTGATTGTTATGTTCCTTATACCAAATTTCATATTGGTCATATTTCACACAAATTGGGTACAGGGCATGACTTATAATCAAATATGTGAAGCAAACTTATTGTTAAAAAAAAATTAAACGGTTATTAAATTATTAAGGTATGTCACTCGTGAAATTTGTTATATCAAGGATTGTTTGGGAAGTATATTTTAGATTAGTACTCATATCGCATGATTAAAAATCGCAAAGAAAATTGGGGGGTCTGTGCATCTTATTAAGCAAGGGTACATTGAACTCGACACCTTTTTTTGCACTTAAATTGTACATCTTAGGTTAATCACTTTAATCTTTATTATATTTTACCAGATGTAATTATTGCAATAAATGTAATCTTCTTTTACATAAACTATAATATCTATCATAGGACAAATTATGCATTAATGTGCATAAATTATTGTGTGATTTTTTTTGCACTAAAATAGTATCGTATTGGGTATTTAAAAAAAACTGAATAGGTTATAAAATATTTCCTTGCATCAAGCTTTTAAGATCTTAGTGCTGATTGGTTAAAAGTATCGTGTAGTTTAAGAAAATGAAAGAAAAAGATGGGATCAGTGATGTAAATTTTTAGATATTGGTCAAAATATGCGATATTCAGACATAAAACTGTGTAAATTTCATCTTGACTTCTTCAATTGGAACGAATTTTGCATATTCACTCAATAGACTGCCAGGAATTCAATATATATTCATTTCCTAGCAAAGTCTATTGAGTAAATATGCAAAATTTGTTCTAAAAATATTATTTGAAACCTATATTTAATATTCCTAGCATTTATTAACGGAAAAAATGTTCTGAGTAAAAACATGAAGGGCTTAAGTTCCAAGATATTAAATTAAACAAATGTGTAGATTTGAAGAATTTTCTTCTAAATATCCTTCCACCACAAGAAATAGTCCCACATAAGTCTTTCTTTTTTGTGAGCAGTTTTTAAATTGAATTTTGTATAATTATCAAGCAAACGACATTTTCAGGTTTGCTTCTTTTAGCGCCAAAAAACTGCATTCCATATCTAGATAGATAACATGATCATTAATTAATAAGCCTATTGTGAAGTACAAATATAAAGTATTTAAATTCATGTAATAGCATGTAGATGAGTTAATACTCAGTTGTTTGAATTTTTGTTTGTTTGGTTGCTTCCTCCCTCGTTGTTGGTGTTGTTGTTTGTTGTTTAACGTCCCTCTAGGTTTGGTGACGTTAAACATAGAATTAATTTCGGTCAGCCTTGTAATCAGATTTTGGTGTCTTTGGAATTTTGAACACCTTTATAAAACGACTGTAGGGCATTTTTTCTTCAAGGCTCGGGTATATCTAGTGAGGACAATTCTGAGAATTTGATCTGCCGTAACCCAAGAAAGTAAGTAGAATCGACTTATAAATTCAAAAAATTCAAAGGGTACTCCGCCGTAGAGCGTATTCTAGTTCGTTGACAAAAGAAGTAGTCAACATGTATACTAAGATTAGTTGAAAAACAGACTGAACTTAAAAACAAGGCTTGCTGTTTTTAAAAAAAAAAGAAGACAGATTCTGTTTGTAGTACATATGTATAACCATCGTTGAAAAGTTCAATGAACGTATCTTTAAATATTCTCCTTTCTAATAACCATGTGACATCTTTCGTTAAACTGGGAAAAATCAATATACTTATGTACATATTTATTAAGTACTAGTAACATTAAATGTTCAGCTAGAATTAGGAGCGTATTAAAGGAATTTCACGCGTACGGGTTTTTCTGTTTTTAGCATCCACGGCAATAACCGGATGACGTTTCATTTCAACCCCCCCCCCCCCCCCCCATCTTATCACTTATATAAAATTCGCTTGAACGATATCCACAAAATCAGCATTCCTTGAAGGGCGAAATTGGCCAGAAATGGTCTTTTAACTTGACAATTTTATCACACAGTTAAGGTATATCATTGAGGGAGTAAACAAGATGGCCAGGGCTATTTCCCTCGGCTTTAAGCTCAAGTGAGCTTTTCTGATTACCTGTTGTCCGTCTGTAAACTTTTCACATTTTCGACTTCTCAAGAAGCACTAGGCCAATCTTAACCAAAATTTTCACAAAGCATTGTTGGGTATGTTGGATGATTCTAAATTTTTCCATGGCCGTAGGAACCGGGGGGTGCCCCCCCAATAATTTTGCCGATATATAGATTACTATAGCAAACATAGATACTATATGCTTGTGCTCCCTCAATAAAACGTCTGATGACCCTTTTTTTTTGCTTGTCAAGAAACTTTTGGTAGTTGATGCTCTTTTTTTCTTTGCTTGTCAGGAAATTTTTCTGAAAATGTATGCATGGCTATGCCCCCCCCCCCCTCGTCGCAAACCACGGTTTTGAGTCCACAAGCTACCATGATAGAGAGAATCGATGTGAATCACCGGTGGGTTACCGACGATGTGCCCCCCCCCCCCCCAAACTGAATTTGCTTCTTACGGGCCTCTGTTCAAACGAAGGACCAAGCCCACTTCCAAGGGGAGAGCCAGAAAAAGGTGACACTTATGGGGAAGCTTCCTGAGGAAATGTAGATCTAACTTGTTTAAATCATGATCCCCGGGGGTAAGATGGGAACACAATAGGGGATGAAACTTATAAATTGAAACATTTTGAAGAATCTTTTTCTTACAACCACAAGACCAGAAAAGATGAAACTTATGTGAAGGCTTCCTGAGGTAGTGTAAATTCTAAATTGTTCAAACAATCGGGTAGAGTGGGGCCACAATATATAATAGGGGATAAAAATTTTACCTTGAAATACAATTTATAGAAACATCTCTAAAAAAAAAAATCTTCTCTAGAACCACTTGAACAGAAAAGATGGAATTTATGTGAAAGCTTCCAGACATAATTTAAATTCTAAATTTTTTCAACTTACCCCTGGGTAGTATGGGACCACAATAAGGAATCAATGTTTTATCTAAGGATATTGAAATATACGGGGAATTTTTTAATCAATCTTTTCAAAAACCACTGGACAAGAAAAAAATGAAACTAATGTGAATGCTTCCAGGCATAATGAAGATTGTAATTGTTTTGATCATGGACCCTGGAGGTAGGGTGGGGCCACAATAAAGGATCAAGGTTTTACACTGAAATGTATAGGAAGAATCTTTTGAAATCTTTCCAAGGACCAGAAAGATTAAACTTAAGTGTAGGCTTTCTGAGGTAGTGTAAATACTAGCCTGTTTAACTCATGGCCGTGGGGGATAAGGTATGGCCAAAATAGGGGATCAAAGTTTCGCATAGAACTATATATTGATTGATTGATTGTATATTGTTTTACGTCCCATTCGAGAATTTTTCACTCATATAGAGACGTCACCATATACCGGTGAAGGGCTTCAAATTTTGACCTTTACTCGGCACCTAGGGCCATTGAGCAGTGAGGGATCTTTATCGTGCCAACGCCTGCCGTGACACGGGCCTCGGTTTTTAAGGTCTCATCCGAAAGACCCGCAACTTTCACTCCAAAGTGCCGAGCGCTTGGCGAAGGAACAGTTGCTACCTATTTTTTTATCGACTTAGGTCTGTCGCGGCCGAGATTCGAACTCACGACCTCCCGATCACGAAGCGAGCGCTCTACCGACTGAGCTACTGTGAACGGTCATAGAACTATATAAGAAATGAAAACAAAACTTCTAAAAACGCAACAGAATCAAAATTTGCAATCATTCCCAAGTTGTGTGGATTTATTTTTTTTTTTTTAATTATGGACCCCAGGTAAGAGATGGCTCAATACAAAATGCTTGTATACATAAAAAGAATATTCTTCTCCATAACTGCAGGGCCATGTTAGTCATATTGATACTGAAGCATCACCATTGAGTGTGAATTCAGATTTACAGAGTTGGACCATAATATGGGGTCATAATTTTCCAAGGGAATATAATTTTTTTTTGAAAATCTTCTAAAGAATAGTAGGGCTAAAGTCCTCAGTTGAGTGTTGTGGCCCATAGGCCTCTTAACGTTTTTTTCTTATGCATGTACCGGTACAAAAATAATATCTCGAGGATTAAAGATAACCAGGAATTGGTTTTCGAAGCAGGGATTAGTTCACTGGACTAACGCACGGCAAAACAGATATTAGTCCATTAACTAGGGAATTATTCGATCTAATGGTGGAATTTTATATAAGGTAATATCAGTATAATAAAAAGGTACAATAGTCATTTTTATCCCAGTGAGAGTTATCTCTGTTATCAAAGAGTCAGTGAACCTTAATCAGGGTCAACAAATCTTAAACAGATCAAAACAGTAAGAGGATAAGGGTTTTAGAAGAATTGAACCGATTTCCGGTAGTCATCTGTATAGTTTATGACAACACGTACTGGAATTTTTTTTTAAAAAAACTCAATGAATATAGAATTACATGTACGTTTCTCTTTGATGAGAAAAAACCCGGACACTTTACCAATGTATATTAAGCTCTTCTTTTCTTCCAACAGAATAGATTAAAATGATTTTTTTTAAAATGTCGGATTTTGAAAATTATATTCAATGTAAAGAAATATGTTCACTCATGATATGATTTTTTAAACGCACATGAATGAAATAACGCTTGTATTGAAAAAAAAAATCTAGAATCAAATGGTGGCGATGATGATTTGTCAATTAAGTTTATACGTTGTCTATCATTAATTATAATCTATCACCTTGTAGGTGCTGTATACCTAAGTTTGTAAATTTTTTTTACTATCAATAGTAGTAATTCCGGTAGGTGTTGAAAATTTGCCGATCTTTAATTGTAGTATATTGTAATTTCCTGTAGGTGCTGTATGCCATTTGTCGATCATTAATTTAATTCTTGTCAATATTGTATTCTAAAGTTTGTATATTTACTATTGCAAAATACTATACTCAGAATAAAGTGGGGGGACCTGGCCCCTTCTGCCCCCCCCCTCCCCCGCGTTCTACGGGCCTGCAATGCTTTAGTCTATATATTA